ATGCCACGGATTGAGTGGCGAGGTTTTACGGATTATGTTCTTAATAGGGTGGTTTCATATTTTGAAGATCCAGTGGATAGCAGGGAAGGATCATCTTTCTTACTTGGGTTTCGTTATGGATGTCAGTGTAGAGACTCCTACCATTTATTCTGTTCCGGTGGTGAGGGACTTTTCAGAGGTGTTTCTTGTGGTCGGGCATGTCACCGGGCAAAGTTGTTGATTTCGGTATTAACATGGTGTTGGGCATCGTATCGTATGGCACCGTCAGAGTTAAAGGAGCTGAAGGAGCAGCCTTAAGGTTTCCTTGATAAGGGGTTCGTTGGCAGGCCAATATGAATGTGTGTTCCAACTTGGGTTGGCTTGGTTGGCTCCGAGTTGTATTGTTAAGGGATGTGTTGATTCGATTGTTATTAAGCTTATTAGTAATCTGGGGAGATCCATGAGTTACCTTTACATGTTGCGAGGCATTGGAATTTGTTGGGTATATGCACCGGTGGTGCGGTGTTATTGGGGTCTCTCAGTGGAATTTGAGTGGGAAGAGTATTGAGTATTGTTCGGCGGATGGCGTATCAGTTGTGTCCTTTTGGGTTTGTGTAAAGTTATGTCAATTGCTTCGCCATGGTTATAATGATCTGCTTTGGTTCTAGAAAATCAAATTGTGTGTGGTTGTCGATTTTGACCATAGTGACTTGAGGTGTTTCATGTGGACCAGTGTTTGGATGAGGTCGCATTGTAGAGTTAAGCTATGTGGAAGTATGATCCTACGGGTTAAATTTATATGTTCTGTTTATATGATGGGTAATGGGTTCTCAGCATTATGTGTGGTGATACTGGCAAGCTTACGGTACAGCTCTTTCATTTGAGTCATTTTCATGATTTGAATATGTTCGGATTGTGACTTATTGGTGTGCGGATTGCACAAGTTGTGACTTTAGCCTGTATTGATGTGCCATATCACCAGAGTAGTGTGTTGAATTAGATGAGATCATTGGGATCATTAATGAATACGAACAAATTCGATTTTAGCATGTTGGAAAGATAATATCAAGGTTCGGCTCAGAAATTTGCTATGGTCTTTGCCAAAGGAGAAGTGGCTTCATGAATGGTTGATCTGAGAAATGGTTATGGCTTACTGCGTCTTTTATTTATCATTGGCAATATATGAAAGTGTTGGAGTGAGACTTTAGTACATAAGAGGTTTTCTACCGGTATTCAGTTGTTGTGTGCAGCTGCTTTGATTAGAAGTTATCACTACAAATGTTTGAGTTGTGTGGTATATCATGTAATTTCACCTGAGGTTGCAGGTATGGGTTATTACAACTGGTTTGGGCTTATTCAGAGTATAGATATGAGATTCTGATCTTGTGGATGATTTCAGAAGTGAAATGTGGTTCTAAAGTTTATGGGCTAGGTGGGATTGTGGAATTTCAGTTACATTGTATTATTGGACTCATATGAGATTGGGTGACGTGCTATCACCCCCGGGTATATGCATGGTAAGGTTATTTAGCGATTGGTTGGATTTTGGAACAACTCTGGGCACGTTTGAGGACGAACGTATGTTTAAGTGGGGGAATCGATCGTTTTAAGCTTTTGCACTTTGCTCGTCTGTTCTCGGGCATGACTTGCCCTGTGTGATGGATTATGACTTATATGTAAATCGTTGGTTTTGTTTTTCAGAGTAGTCGGAATGAATTTGGAAGAACAGTTCTCAGTTTGAATCTTGAAATTTGAAAAGTTTGACCAAGATTTGAATTGTTGGTATATGATCTCGGATCGGAATTTTATGATTTGGCTAGCTCCGTTAGGTGATTTGTGACTTAGGAGCATGATCGGAATGAGTTTTGGAGGTCCGGAGTAAATTTAGGCTTGAATTGGCGAAAGTGGATTTTTGGTGATTTCCGGTTGGTAGGTGAGATTTTGATAAGGGGTCAGAATGGAATTCCGAGAGTTGCAGTAGTTCCGTTGTGTTATTTGGGATGTGTGTGCAAATTTTCAGGTCATTCGGATGCGGTTTGGTTGGGTTTTTTATCAGAAGCATAATTTAGAAGATTTTGGAATTCTTAGGCTTGAATCTGATGCGAATAGCGTTCTGAAGGTTGGAACAAGTTTGAATGAGGTTATGAGATATTTTGGAATGTTTGGTTGAGGTCCTGGGGGACTCAGGTGAGTTTCGGGTGGTCAATCGGACCATTTCATGAAGTTTGGAATTGCAGAAATCTGTTGCTCGGTGTTGCAGACAATTGACCTTCGCATTCGCGAGAGGGGAGCCGCGATCGCGAAGGGTTAGTTGGAGAAGGCGGAGATTTTGGACTTCGCATTCGCAAGGAAAACTCCGTGTTCGCGAAGGACTGGGAAGTAATTCATCGCGTTCGCGAGGTAAGCTCCGCGTTCGCATAGAGGAAATTGGCCAGCAGGGTTTGAGGTGTTTTGTTCATCGCGTTCATGGGTGAGGGAGCGCGTACGCGAAGAGTCATGTTAAGGAACCATCACGTCCGCGAGTGCATGTTGCGATCGCGAAAGAGGAATTTTGGTCAAAGGTGATTTGTGCTTCGCGAACGCGAGGCTTTGACCGCGTTCGCGAAGAAGAATTTCAGGCCTGGGCAGAATGTTTAAATACTCATCTTGTCCGCGATTTTGGGGTTTATTTCTTCTATTGTTAATCGTTTTTGGAGCTTTTTGAAGGGGATTGAAGAGGAATTCAAGAGGAATCACTTGGAGGTAAGTATTTTGGACTTAAAACTCGATTCTATTGTGAAATCTACCTAATAAATCATGGAATCTAAGCCAAAATTTGAGGAATTAGGGCTTGAGATTATGAGACTTTAAAATGAGAATTTGAGGGGCCATTTGGACTCCGATTTCAGTGTTCTTGGCATGTATGGACTCGTGGGGAGATAAGGAATCTATTGATGTAAAAATTATTAAATTCCGAATTGTGGGCACGGGGGTCGGGTTTTGGTAATTTCAGGATTTATGTTGTAAATTGATTATCTTCGCTTGGGCTTCGTTCCCTTAGCATATTTTGACGTCCTCGTTCTAATTTTGGATAGATTCGATGCGAGTGGAGGCTGATTCGAGGGGCAAAGGCATCGCGAGCTAGAGATTTGACCAGATTGAGGTGAGTAATAATTGTAAATGTTGTCCTGAGAGTATGAAACCCGGACGTGCACATCGTTTTGCTATATTGAGGTGACGCACACGCTAGATGATGATCGTGGGGTCGTGCACTGTTGGGGATTGTGACTTAGTCCATCTCGAATGACTATTTTACTGCATATTTTATTGAAAACTATTTGCTATCATCATGTTGTGGGTTGAATGCCATATCTGGGCCTCGTGCCAACTATTTGGACCCTTCGGGAATTTTTATTGATATTTCCTCACTGTTTTGACTTTAAACTTGTACTCAGTCATGCTATATTCTACTGTTTTCAAAACTCAGCCATGTTTACTCTACTTTAACACTTGAAATGATATTCTAAATAATATTTTGGGTTGAGCATCATGTTTTATTGTTGTCCGAGTGGCTTATGTGATTTTGACTGAGTAAGGCCGAGGGCCTATGTTATGAGGATACTTTTGGGTCGGGTTACACGTCACAACGGCAATACACTGATTTTGATTATGAGGTCGAGGGCTTGAGATATGTACGCCACGAGGTCGCTTGTTGATATGAGGCTGATAGCCTAGAGATGATGCCACGAGATGGCTTGATATTGCGCTCTGGTCCGTAAGGGGCCCCTCCAGGAGTCTGCACACCCCCAGTAAGCACGGGTACCCATTGTGATGTGAGATATAGCCTGAGGGACTGGTGTTGTTCCATATTGTTGCCCGAGGGGCTGTTTTCTGTTGTTGTTTGCACCCGAGGGGCGGATTTTCTATGCTTATTTGATCTAGTCGCTTTGCATTTAGTTGCTTAACTGTTAAAAAGATGTTTCTAAAGAAGTTTTAAACTGAGCTAAGATGTTTAAAGAGATTTCACAGCTTCATTGCTTTCTTACTGGTTTCGTACTGCTTCTATCCAGCATGTTGATGCACTTTTCGTGATTTCTTATCGGTCATCTTTATTTATGATTATTACTCACTGAGTTGGAGTACTCACTTTACTCCCTGCACCTTGTGTTCAGATTCAGGTATTTCTACACCCCGTATCAGGTATTGGTTGAGCTGAGGCAGAGTCATTGGAGTTTAGCGAGGTAGCCATCCGGCATCCGCAGCACTGCTTTACTCCTTCTTGATGTCATTAGACTGTATTTAGTATTTCCATAATTTCTGTTGTATTTTAGACCTTAGTAGATGCTCGTGACTTATGACACCCCGATGTCGGGCTGTATCTATTTCCGCACTGTTCATTTAAATTTACATTATGCAATATCCGATTAATTAAAAAGGCCTAGATTGATATATTAAAATTATTGAAATGGATTTGGGGATTGTGTTGGCTGGCCTTGTCTTCATGAGAGGCGTCATCACGACCAGGCAGAGGCGGACCCAGGATTTGAGTATAACGGGGGCACCATTGTCATTAGAGTGAATTACCCAAAGCCAGTAAAAAAATACATATAAACTCTATGATAGACCAGTAAATAAGCAGCACAATCCACTATATAATATAAACTTGCTAAGCAAAAAACTAAAATAAAGTAAGAAGAGCTTACGCTTTGATTTCATCATACTCCCCAATTGACCCGTGAACACAAACTTTGATTTCATCAGACTCCCCAATTGATCTGCGAATTTTTTAAAAAAAAATAAGCATTCCAAGAAAATAAACAACTTCTTGCACATCCTTGCGCACACATGGACTAAATTGAAATAAACTTTAAAATATAAAACAAGCGTAGTGGCCTTAATAACAATTCCTGACATACTAATAGTAATATCTACTGTTATCCAAAAATGAGAACAAAAGAAGACACAATTTACATCAAAAGACAAACTTCAATGTTATAGAATATCTTTAATTGATACTAATATAACAAAAGTACATCATCCACTTATACTTGAACTCGACGCTTTTTCATACTCTGAAAACGGTCAATAATAGCATCATTGCTTACATTTGTGAATACTTCTTTTTCAAAGTAACAAACTAAATAATCATTTAAAAATGCATCACCAATACTACTATGCAATTCATCTTTGATGTACTTCATGGATGAGAATGCTCTTTCTATCGTTGCAGTCGCGACAGGTAAAATTAGAGTCAACTTCACAAGTAAATAAACAAGTGAATATGTCTCTACAAGATTTGCATCAACCAACGCTTTTGCCAAGTCACTAATTCCTTTCAAATCTGAGAATCTAGGGTCACCATGTTGCATGTGCAATATGAAAGTTTCAGGTTGGTGACTAAGATCTCGAAACTTCAATTCATCAAACTCATCTGGATAATACTTGACCAAGGTCATTATTCTTTCTTTGTCAAAATTAGCAAACGAGTTAGCCGGATTCAAGCTAGCCATACCAAGAAGCAAGTTACCACTAACAACATCGAAACGACGGTTAAGCTCTTGAACTTGCAAATCGATCACTGTATAAAAAAGTTCAACACGTAAGTGATGAGAATAAGTAACAATAGAAGGCCTACGCTTTGACTTTCCAGGAATATAGAATTCTTCCATATTATGCACCAAAATATCATGTTTAGTACAAAACAAATATACTTCATCCATTAATAGTTTCCATCCTTCATCTCTCATTTGTTGCAACCTTTCCTTTGTAATGTCAAGAAATATTATGGCATTGACAATATCTTGCTATTTCTTCTCTAAAGCTTTACTCAGCTCATTCGACATCAACAATACCTTCAACATCAAGTGAAGCAAGAAAACAAATTCAAATGAATTAATTTTACTCGAAAAAGCTTCTGCTTGCAATCTATTATTAGCCTCTTGACCTTCATATTCAATCACCCCAAGCTCATGAACAATAGATGAAAATAAAACAACAAAGTTATCTAATGGTTTACAATGTGATCCCCAACGAGTGTCACCTGGCCTTTGAAGCCCTCGCTCTTGATTTAATCCTTTCCCACTTTGAACTTCACCACTCTCTAGCAATTGCCCCAATAATTTGTCATGATGATCCCGAAGTTGATATCTACGTTTAAAGGATGCTCCAATCACATTCAACATATTAGAAACTGTAGCAAAGAAAGTTTCCACCTCCTTATGTTTTTTAGCAACCGCTACAAGCGTCAACTGTAATTGATGAGCGAAACAATGAATGCAATGTGCTGAAGGAGTTTCTTGCAAAATTAAAGCTTTAAGACCATTCATTTTTCCTTGCATATTACTACCTCCATCATAGCCTTGTCCACGTATTTTGGATGGACTTAATGGGTATTTCATAAGCAAAGAAAGTATTGCTTCCTTCAACGACTTTGCAGAGATATCATGAACACGAACAAGACCAATAAATGGCTCGTTCACTTGGCCTTTTTATTCAACATACCGCAAAGCAAGGCCCATTTGTTCATGGTGTGAAATATCCTTGGACTCATCAACTAATATCCCGAAATAATCCCCATCCAAATCATTGATTATAGCTTTCACGGATTCTTTTGCACATGCACTCACAATGTCCTTTTGAATTTTTGGTGAAGTCATCATATCATTTTTTGGAGCATGTTTCAATATGACTCTATCTACTTCAGGGAGCCTCTTTGCAAGCCATTCCAAAAGCCCTAGAAAAAGGCCTTTGTTTTTTGAAGAATCACTTTCATCATGACCTCGAAAAGACAATCCAAAATACAAGAGAAACCTTACAAAATCGATTGATGCATTTAAACGAATTCAGTGCTCATTTCTTTGTTTCTCAGATTGCTTATCAAAAGCAACTTGAATTGATTAGGATTGATTTGATAAGTCTAGCATCTTTTTGAAATACTTGTGGTGGAGGCTATTTACTTTACCAACATGTAAGTCAAGTCTTTCCGAAGCTTTATTCCAAGCCTTAAAGCCCGTTTTTGTGTAAGAGTCACCCGTGCTTCCATGAACATAATCATTTTTGAATAAATAACAACATAAACAAAATGCGGCATCTTTATTCACACTATACTCCAACCATCTAGAATAGGAACCTTTAAACCAACCCGAACTAAATTGACGCATTTTATTCCCGAATAAAGTTTTAGGAAATTTATGATCAATCGGTTGGCAAGGTCCATTTTGAATGTAGTGTCTTCTTATGTCATCCCGTATTCTAAGACTATATTTATCAATTGGTACTCTCTCTCCAGGGTCGGGATTGAGTAATTTCTCATCAAACTCATCTATGAGATGAGAGGAATTGTTTCTAAGACTAGAACTTGGTTGAGAAGAATTAAACTTTGTCAAAAACACGTCCATCTCAATTCATAAGAACAAGAACTTCCTATAAAAAATGAGTTCAATAAATTTAATAGTCTATAAAGAATAGAAATTCATCAAATGCAAAAAGGGTCAAAGTAGAAACCACGGAAAAGCAAAAAGTTCCAAGCAGAAACCCAATATACAGAGATTTAATCCATAAGTAATTGGATGTTAGCTGAGCAAAGTATCATATGACAGTGATTAATTTATTGAAAAGTTAGTAAAAATAGAGTGGCTGCGATTCTAACTTTTAAAGGCCCGTAATCATCAATAAGGCCAATTACAATCAGCGAAGTTAATAGATGTACGTATTCATCACTTTATAATTTGAATGCAGGCGTATTTTTATTTATATATTTATAACAATAGAGAAAATTTGATTTATTTACCAGTGGCAAACCTAAATTTTGGGAATTCTTGAACAAAAATTTTAAACCTAAATAAAATCATATAAAATCCATCCCCAATTCTCCATGCTCTTACAATTTATAAATAAAAATTAAGTTTCAAAGTAAGAGAAGCACTAACTAGATATTCGATGCCCGCTACTTTTTTAAAGTAATGAGAGGAATTGAGATTGAGGAAGAATGGTTCTCTATTTCGGAGTGAGGAGTGATGGCTGGGGAGTAAAGACTGAGTTTGAAGGAGGGGAGCTTCTGAGTTTGACGGAGGGGACTGGCCGACTGGGGAGCTTTTTCGTTTGATCGAGGAAGAACTAAGACAGGTTTAGGGCTTTAATATTTTGGGGCTTTTGGGTAGGATTTTGTAGAAGAACTAAATAATAAAATTGACTATTATCTATAACTATTAAAATATAATAAAATTGAGAAAAGGTAAAATAAAAAATTATAAATTAGTCAATTGTTGACTAGTGACTAATAAATAGTACTATTGTACTAATATATAATTGATTATTCCAGTTATAAAAAGTGAAAGAAACTAAAAAAGAAATATTTGTGGAAAGGGGGTTTCGAACCCCAGTCCTTCGTAGCAAAACGAAGGGAAATACTACTGACACAAGCGGACCATTGCTCCAAGCAGCATTTCGATTATAAGGGGGCCAAGAAAAATATTTAAGGGATCCCTAAAATATATACAGCTATACATACAATATATATATAGGGTTTTTGCCGAGGTTAACTGGTTCACGTGACCCCTCAAGGCCTAGTGTATATCCGCCTCAGCGACCAGGTCCGATTTGGGGTCGTGACACGGCTAGAGTTTCTGTCATTTTTGTCTTTCACTTTGACTGATAGGTCCACAAAACTGCCTTATACTCATGATTCTAATCCCCTTTGACAGATGTGGGGTGCCATAGCTAATATGTCCGAACCATTACTAGTGGATTTAGTTGCACAGTGATTAACGGGGCCGCCTAAGGAGCTGTCCTTCTTGCTTCAGTATTCCTAATGGTAATGATGGTCTTCTTTAAATCATATTCCTCTTATCTACTTTTCCCCTTGATTTCTATGGTTTGGTAGTGGAGTATAATTTACATTTTGTGGGGCTAGGGTGCATTGGATAGCTCTGCTTTTAATCAACATTTTGATCTCGTGCTTCAAACTATAGCAATCCTCGATGTCATGTCCTTGAACATCTTAATGATAGGCACAATTCTTGCTTGAATCAAAATACATAATGTGTTGGTTTGAGATTCTTCCTTCAATCAGGAATAGCAATCCAGCCCTTCTCAACCTCTCAAATAATTGGGCCAAAGGCTTAGTAATTGGGGTAAAATTCCTGGGGTTCTGTGCTTCGAAGTTAGGACGTGGTCTGGGAGCATAGGCAGACCTATTTTGATGGGTAGTGGTTTGAACGGGGGCATATCGTCGTGATGGGTTTGGAAATATATTGTATCAGGGTTGATTGTAATGTGGTTTGGTTATTGTAAAGTGGTTGTGCATTGTAGACTGGGGTATAAGTAGACTGCTTTGGAGGATGAGTGTTTGTAGGGTATGGATTGGCTCGACGAGGATGACTTGGTTGATAGTAAGGGATAATTTCTGTCATTCTTCTTTTTTCTTCTTTGTGTTGCCGATGGAACCAGATTGTATAGCCTTGCTAACATCTTGTAGCGCAGCCATAAACTGTATCTCCCTGGCTTGATACCTTCTTCCAGGAAATCTCCTATTTTGACTAGCTCGGGGAACTTTTGGCCCATCATCCCTATCATTTTATCAAAGTAGATTCCTTCCTGGGCAGAATGAAGTATTTGGTCAACTCGTTATCATCCAGTAGGGGATGTACTCTAGCTGCTTCTAATCTCCAACAACGAGCATACCCTTGAAATTACTCATAGGGCTTCTTTTGTATGTTTATCGAAGCAAATCTATCCGGTGTAATCTCAATATTGAACCCGAAGCAGTTCATGACATCTTCAACCATATCTTGCCATTCTCTCAAATTCCTGGGGTCCTGTCTAGCATACCAAGTGAGTACGTCCCCAATCAAACTTCTAATGAATATATTCATCCTCAACTTCTCGTTTCTTCCTACTCCTACTTACTTATCACGATATTCCTTCAAGTGTGCATGGGGATTGCTTGTTCGATATCAAATGTCGTGGGTTTGGACCTGCCGACATATCTGTATACGGTCAAAATCAGGGAAGGCCGATTTTAAGGTTTCTATGGAATTTTAAGCCCGGCCTCGATGGGCTCGAAGCACAGTCTAAGGCGCGTCCCCGAAGCACTCGCCTCAATAGGGTATATCGAAGACTCATCACAGCGTACCTCGAGGTAGCATAAAAATCGACGACCGTCATAGAAAGGCGGAAAATTCACGAGGGAACGTGATTAGAACTGATAGAGTCTGCAAGAAATAGTACAAATCCGTACTGAGCTACTATACAGTTGTACCAATAGCATTTCCTCATCATTATTAGACATGTACTATGTTGAGATTCTCCCTCCTATATAAAGGGGACGTTTGTCATTTTGTAACACACGTGAATATTGAATACAATAGGACATTCTCTGCTTTTCATGCCTAAACGTGCTCAACAATTACTCTACAGATTTATTGTTTGTTCATTTATTGTTCACTTATTGTTCTTCATTTATTGTTCATTATTAACCGCAAAAGTCGATCTTCAAGGCCTTCTATATCATTGTTTCTTCATCAATTGTTCATTGTTAACTGTCCTTACTGGACCTCGAGGCCCTCTGTTCCAGCCAGCTCGAGGCCCAGTCCTTCATCAACATTGGCGTGCATATCATATTCTCTTCATTTACTCTTAGCATCTATTTCCTAACAACTAGTATTGAAATAAATCACATATTTTTAGAACCACAAAATCAAATATAATTGTTAATACCATTTTCAAGGTAAATAGTTTGGCACTCACCGTGGGGCTAAAAATAATAGTGATTGTTTTTTGTGCTAGTTTTCTGATAACACACGTTATTCTTCACACTTTTTTCTTGTCAAAGTTTTTTTGATTTCAGGCCAAAATATGTCTAGCACACAAAATGCACCCGCTCATAACAGCGAAGGACTTGGAGAAAATAGTGGCATAGGGCTCGGTGTACCACCTATAAACCCTAAGGGAGTGCCAAACATGGAGCCAGTTGATATCAGCTCCCACAACGCTCTAAACATGGGAGCAGGCGCAGACCCCATAAGGAATGGATGCAGGGAAGCCCAGGCTGGACGCCAAGAAGCACGAGGAATGGAAGGAGGAGGAGTCAGCCTCCAAGTGATATTCGAGATGTTGCAAGCTCAGCAAGTCACCATCGTTCAACTTCAAAGTCAGAACAGAACCCCTAACACCGCTGAACCAGTAAACATGCAGCATGAACCAGTGCTAGAAAGGCCCGATGAAAGCGGCTTGGGGACTGACCCCACAATCATGAAAATGCTCGAGGAATTAATTAAAATAATGGAGTCAGGAGAAAAGAAGATAGAGGCTAACGATAAAAAGGTGGAGACTTATAACTTGAGGGTCGATCAAATCCTGGGCGCACACCTGATTCTAAAGGATGTAGTTTCAAAGAAGTTCGTGCAGAAACCATTCTCATCAAGTGCAGCTCAGAAGCCCATCCCGAAGAAATTCAAAATGCCTGATATCCTGAAGTATAACGGGACCACGGACCCTAATAAGCACATTACCGCTTATACTTGTATTGTAAAAGGGAATGACTTAAAGGATGACGAGATTGAATCCGTCTTGCTGAAGAAATTTGGAGAAACACTGTCGAAGGGGGCCATGATGTGGTATCACAACCTACCCCCGAACTCGATGGACTCGTTTTCCATGTTGGTAGATTCTTTTATGAAGGAACATGCCGATGCCATCAAGGTTGCTACAAGGAATTCCGATGTCTTCAAGATCAAACAAAGGGAGAATGAGATGCTGAGGGAATTTGTATCTCGCTTGGGCAGTGCAGGCCTTCACTCAGGGCTTGAATGAGCGAAGCTCGATAGCTTCGAAGCAGTGAAAGCAGAACTTGGTTGAGTATCCCACCGTGACTTGGAGATGTACACAACAGATATCAATCGAAGATCAGGGTTGAGGAAGACCAATTAGGAGCCCCCTCTGGCTCAGTATATCCAAGCAGGCTCCTAAAGGAACCAAGGGAGTCGAAATCAGGCAAAGAAAGGTATCAGCCATACTTCAAAGATCAAAGAGACACTTCGAGGCAGAATATACCTCAAAATGGTTGAAGAGTAGATCGAGGCCAAAATTCAT